GATCATGGTTAGTGCATTACGATGCAGAAAGCTGCATATGTACCCACTTGACAACTTTGAGGTAAAAGAGGGCCTGGCCTGAGTCTCTTGATTTCTCATAGGCAGAATATTATCTCCCCAAATGTGTAACACCACAGTTGAGGCCTCTCCATCCTCACCTTCCTTTACCAATAGCCAAACCCCTTGCAAGTTTTTTAAAGTGTCTGACTCACTGGGGATGCACATGTGCAGCTAAGTCACAAAAACAAGAGTAGCCAAAAATCCGTGGCTAGCCAAGGTTACTCCCTGGAGGTAGCCCTTCCCTTGTTTTAGCTCCAGTTGCTGAGTGGATAGGGCACAGGGAACTGAAGACACAGATTCCTGGTACTCTCTTATCAAGAGAGGGGGCAGCAGCTCTGTGACTTCCAGATGACTACTCAAACCACTGCATCCCAGGCCCGTTATAGCTCAGTCTTGTACTTTATTGCCTTTTTGAGGCTAAGGCCCCTGGAGGACTATGAGAGGGAGATATTTGGGTCCTGGAAGAAAATGGCAAGCTTAAGCATGCAGTACTGCCAACTTGCATGATTTCTGGTGCTGTTCTTAAAGTCTACGCTTTGGGAATGTGAAAAACGTAGGTCTTTCTTATAAATATAAATAAATAGACAAATGAATAAATAAATAAAAGAAAGAAAGAGCTAAGTTTTTCACCCAGGCATTGGCGACGTGTAGGGGCTGCACGCGGGTGTACACCCCCCCTCCCCCCTGAGCTTGGCAGTGCACCCCGTGCAAAAAGTGCTGCAAACACTGTCGGTGGTGCCTGGGGGCGGTCGCTCCTCGCCACCCCCCTGCCCTCGCTGCCAACACCACCGGCGTTGTCTGTGGGTAGTCTCTGATCACTGCTGGCCACTGCTGACGGTGGCAACGGCGTCTGTGGGTGGTTGCCGACTGCTGGTAGGTGCTTGCCAGCCCCCTTCCCCGCTACTGCTGCAGCTGCCTGCGGGAGCTCCCTGCTCACCACAGACATGTCCCCATTGTCAACACTGCCACTGCTCCCTGCTGGTGGTCACTGTGCTCACCCCCCAGCCTCTGGGGGCATGCGGTGTTCACGGACCCACGGAAATGGCTGGAGGTTGTTACAATGCCAGAACCACTGCCACTGTCTCTGCTTGCACCTATGAGGTGCCTGTCCAGGCAGGACCGCTTATTGTTGAAGCTTCCACCAAGGTCTTGGGTTTGGCACTGTGGAGACTGTGGCTTGCAGGATCCTTCCAGTGATAGCCAGGTAAGGGAGTGTCTGCGATGTGAGCAGTACCTCCTCCTGGTGTCCCTCAGGGAGCAGGCAAGAGAGCTACAGGAGGAGATGGCAAGGCTCTGAAGCATCCTCAGCCACAAAGACTTCATTGATTCGATGCTGAGAGGGACTTCTAGGACTGTGGAGGAAGGACTGCTAAAGGCAGCACTAGAGAAGAGAGAAGACATGGATTCCCAGGAAGGTGGAAGCTGGAAGCTTGTGATCTCTGGCAGCAAGAAGAAATCTTCATCTCCACCTGCAACAGTTCATCTGGAAAACAGATATGGAGCCCTAGCAACAGACGGAGAGGAGTATGTTCCATTGGTGCAGGAGGACAGGCCAGGCCTCCCCAAGGTTGGAAGGATTGAGACAACCACCACCAAGAAGAATCGATGGGTAGCGGTAGTTGGAGACTCACATTTGAGGGGGACGGAGGCGTCCATCTGCCAGCCTGACTTATCTCAAAAGGTCTGTTGCTTGCCTGGAGCCTGGATCTGAGATGTCATAGAAGGATTTCATAGATTTCATAGACATTAGGGCTGGAAGTGACCTTGGAAGATCATCGAGTCCAGCCCCCTGCCCTAGGGGCAGAAGTCAGCTGGGGTCACAGGATCCCAGTAAGCATCCAAATTTCTCTTGAAGGTGTTCAATGTAGGTGCTTGAACCACCTCTGATGGCAGGCTGTTCCAGACATTGGGGGCTCGGACAGTAAAGAAATTCTTTCTTATGTCCAGCCTGAAACGGTCTTGCAGTAGTTTATAAACGTTTGACCTCGTCATCCCTTGGGGCGCTCTGGTGAACAAACGTTCCCCCAAATACTGATGGACACCCCTGATAAACTTGTAGTTGGCCATCAGATCACCCCTGAGCCTGTGCTTTTCCAGGCTAAATACCCTCATAGATCTTAGCCTGTCATCATAAGAACTGTTTTCCTGACCTCTGATCGTGTGTGGCTCTTTTCTGGACTCTCCCAAGCTTTTCCACATCCTTTTTGAATTGTGGGGCCCAAAACTGGATGCAGTACTCCAGCTGCGGCCTCACCAAGGCCGAGTACAATGGGAGAGTGATGTCCCGGGATTTGCTTGAGAAGCATCTATGGATGCAAGCCAACATTTTAGTCGCTTTACTAGCGGTAATCGCATTGCAGGCTCATGTTCATCTTGCGGTCAATGATGACCCCTAAGTCTCTTTCTTCCATAGTGCTAGCCAGCGTAGCACTGTCGAGCCTATAAGGATGCTGCAGGTTTTTCCTCCCAAGGTGGAAAACCTTGCATTTTTCAGTGTTTAACACCATCAGGTTTTCATCTGCCCATTTTCTCAGCCTGTCCAGGTCAGCCTGGATCACCTTCCTGTCTTCAGGTGTGGATGCTTTGCCCCAAAGTTTGGTGTCATCGGTGAACTTGACCAGTCTGCTTCTGACTCCAATGTCCACATCATTAATGAAGATGTTGAACAATATGGGTCCAAGGACAGAGCCCTGAGGGTCCCCACTGGTCACAGAGCACCACGATGATTGACTTCCGTCTATTACCACCCTCTGGGTCTGACCACGGAGCCAATTCCCCAGCCAGCAGATCGTGGTGGACCCAAGGCCACAATTGGCCAGTTTCGCCAAGAGGTGATCATGGGATACCAGATCGAAGGCTTTTTTGAAGTCAAGATATATGACATCAATTATTATTGAGACTCATCCAGCTTTCTGACTACTACCCCATGCTGCCCATTCATGTGGGCACCAATGATACTGCCAGGGGAGACTCTGAGCAGAGCAAAAGTGACTACAGGGCTCTGTGTCCAAGGGTGAAGGGGGTCGGGGCTCAGGTGGTGTTCTCAATCCATCCAGTCAAGGAGAAGGACCCAAGCAGGAGCAGATGCATCCTGCAGATCAATGCCTGGCTGTGCAGGTGGTGTTGCGAGCAGGGCTTTGGTTTCTTTGACCACAGAATGTTGTTTCAAGAAGAAGGATTGCTGGGAAGAGATGGGATCCACCTGACAAAGAGAAGGAAGAACATCTGCATAGATAGGCTCATTCACCTAGTGAGGAGGGTTTTAAGCTAGGTTTGCCAGGGGATGAAGACCAAAGCCCTGAGGTAAGTAGGGAAATGAGTGGCTTGGAGGAAGTGCAAGCAGGAAGGGACAATAGGGAGGCATTTTCATTCTTCCTGAGAAAATAGGGTTATTGCCTAGTTACCTCAGGTGCCTGTACACTAATGCACGGAGCCTGGAAAACAAGCAGGAAGAAATGGATGTCCTTGGACAGAACTATGACATGATTAGAATAACAGAGACTTGGTGGGATAGCGCGCATGACTGGAGCATGGTCATGGATGGGTACAAACTGTTCAGATAGGACAGGCAGGGGAGAAGAGGAGCAGAAGTTGTGCTGTATGTAAAAGGGCTGTATGATTGCTCAGAGCTCCAGTATGAAACTGGAGATAGGCCTGTTGAAAGTCTCTGGGTTAGCATCAGAGGGGAGAGCAACAAGGGTAATGTCATGGTGGGGGTCTGCCATAGACCGTCAGACCAGGAGGAAGTGGTGGATGAGGCTTTCTTCAAACAGCTAGTGGAAGTTTCCCAGTCACAGACCCTGGTCCTCATGAGAGACTCCAGTCACCCTGACATCTGCTGAGAGGGCAATACAGCAGCACACAGGCAATTCAGGAAGTTTTTGGAGAATGTTGGGGACAAATTCCTGGTGCAAGTGCTGGAGGGCCAACTAGGGGCCATGCTCTTCTTAACCTGCTGCTCACAAACGGGGAAGATTTGGTGGGGGATGTAGTAGTGGATGGCAACTTGGGCAGCAGTGACCATGAGATAACTGAGTTCAGGATCCTGAGGAAAAGAAGGATGGAGAGCAGCAGAGTAAGGACCCTGGACTTCAGAAAAGCAGACTGACTCTCTTGGGGAATTGATGGGCAGGATCCCCTGGGAAGCCAGGCTGAGGGGGAGGGGAGTCCAGGAGAGCTGTACTTTAAAGAAACCTTACTGAGGGCACAGGAAAAAAAACATCCCAATGTGCTGGAAGTATGGCAGAAGACCAGCTTGGCTTAGCAGGGAACTCTTCAGTAAGCTAAACACAAAAAGGAAGTTTATAAGAAGTAGAAACTTGGACAAACAGGTATGGAGGTTAGATCAGTCCTGAGGCCATTGTGACCATTGTGCACCTTACATGCTGTAACAACCCTCCTCCACTATGATGAGGTTAGTTAAGTTGCTTTGCATTGTTGGTGATTGTTTGGGTAGAGTAACCTGGTGGCGTCCATCTCCTCTCCAGGTATGGATGGCTGCTGGCTCACAGAGAGCTCATCTGCCCTTTGACAGGTCTTGTTTTTAGTCCTACTGGGTATCCACACACGGTCCTCACCCAGGCGAGCCCTGGTGGGGGCGCCAGTTTAGTTGCGAACAACCCAACCATGGAGCAGGCTGTACTGGTTTACATGGTACCAGATAGCAGACCAAGAGAGTCCTGGCCTGACAAGACATCTAGGGAGGATTATAAGAGTATTGCTTGGGCATACAGGGACAAAGTCAGGAAGGCTGAAGCACAGTTGGAGTTGCACCTAGCAAGGGATGTGAAGGGTAAGAAGAAGGGTTTCTACGAGTATTTCAGCAGTATGAGGAGGATCAGGGAAAGTGTGGGTCCCTTACTGAATTGGGGAGGCAACCTACTGACAGAGGATGCAGAAAAGGCTGAAGTACTCAATGCCCTTTTCACCTCAGTCCTCACAGGCAAGGTCAGTTCCCAGACTACTGCACCGAGCAGCACACTTTGGAGAAGAGGTGAGAAGCCAGCAGTGGCAAAAGAACAGGTTAAGGACTATTCAGAAAAGCTAGATGTGTACAGGTCCATGGGGCTGGATGGGATGCATCCGAGGGTGCTGAGGCAGTGGGCTGATGTGACTGCAGAGCCACTGGCCATCATTTTTGAAAACTCATTGTGATTTAGAGAAGTCCCACATGATTGGAAAAGGGCAAATATAGTGCCCATCTTTCAGAAAGAGAAGGAGGATCCAGGGAACTACAGACCAATCAGCCTCACCTCAGTCCCTGGAAAAGTTATGGAGCAGATCCTCAATGAATCCATTTCTAAGCACTTGGAAGAGAAGGTGATTAGGAACAGTCAGCATGGAGCCACCAATGGCAAGTCATGCCTGACCAACCTGATTGCCTTCTACGATGAGATGACTGGCTCTGTGGATACAGAGAGACCAGTGAATGTGATATAACTTGAATTTAGAAAGATATTTTATATTATCTGTCACCACTTCCTTGCAAGCAAGCTAAGGAAGTATGGGTTGGATGAATGGCCTATAAGATGGATAGAAAACTGATTGGATAGTAGGGCTTAGAGGGTAGTAGTCAGTGGTTCAATGTCTAGTTGGCAGCTGGTATCAAGTGGAGTGCCCCAGGGGTCTGTCTTGGGGCCGCTTTTCCCCCTCTCCCCAGTATTTTCATCAATGACCTGGATCATGGAATAGGGTGCACCCTCAGCAAGTAGTAGATATGTTGGAGGGTAGGGTTAAGATTTAGACAGACCTGGACAAACTGGAGTATTGGACCAAAAGAAATCTCTTGAGGTTTCATAAGGGCAAGTACAAAGTTCTGCACTTAGGTTGCAACAGTCCCATGCACTTTTATAAGCTTGGGTCCAACTGGCTAAGCAGCAGCTCTGCAGAAAAGGACTTGGGGTTTACAGTGGACAGTAAGCTGAATATTAGGCAACAGTGTGCCCATGTTGTGAAGAGGGCATAATGCATACTAGGCTGCATTAGTAGGAGTGTTGCCAGCAGGTCAAGGGAAATAATTATTCCCCTCTATTCAGCACTGGTGAGGTCACATCTGTAGTAGTGTATCCATTTTTGGGCCCCCCACTACAGAAAGAACGTGGGCAAACTGCACAGAGTTCAGCGGAGGGCACCAAAAATGGTTATGGTGCAGGGGCACATGACTTCTGTGGAGAGGCTGAGGGAACTGGGCTTATTTAGTCTGGAGAAGAAAAAAGATGGGGAAGATTTAATGACAGCTTCAACAACATGAAGGTTGGTTTCAAAGAGGATGGAGAATGACCAGGGTTGGGCAAAACATGGCCCACAGGCTGGATCTGGCCTAGCGGGGCAGCTCCTGCCTTAGTGTGCAGGGCTCTGGCTGCAGCTCCTGGCCTGGTGCAATAAGCAGCCACCTATGAGCAAGCAGAGCAGGTAGAAGGTGGCCAGGAGCAGGAGCCAGAGCCCCACATGCTGGGGCCAAAGTTGCCCCGCTGAAACTCCACCCTGCTCAGAGAGGTGCATCAGGAGCAGGAGCAGGAGCTGCAGCTTGAGGTAAGGGGAGCAGAGCAGCCCTGCTGTCCTAGACCCCAGCCAGCGCATGTAGCTTCCAGCAGGGCTGTTCTGCTGCAGCTAAAGCTAGCCAGGTGCTGCTCTTCTCACCTTCAGTAGCGGCTCTTCCTCCCACTCCTGCCCCTGCTGTGTTGCTCTAGCCAGGCTGGGAGGTAGCGTTAGCCCGGCAGCTCCCACTGGAAGCAAGGGGAGCAGAGCACCACCTGACCAGCTGCAGCCATCCTGGGAACAGCCCCACCAAAAGCTGTGTGCAGCAGAGCTTGCCCAGTCCACAGCTGCTCCTGCAACTTGGCCCTGTGCAGAGCACTGCAGGGGCAGCTGTGGGCTGGATGAGCTATGCAGCATGTGCTCCCCACCTCTCTCTCCCTCCCCCTCCCCCTCCCCTCACTCCCAGCTTGCTTCTGGGACCTAGCACCCAGGCAGCCCCCCCCCTTATCTTAGAGGCTAGAGCACTGTTCTGGCAGATCACAAGGTTCAAAGCGTTTTAGATGAAGGGAGCATGGACCTTGGATCTTCAGCTACCAGGACAGCAACCCTTACCTCTCATACTGGGACAACCTGCATCACTGCCTGGGCCACAACTCTGAACTCAGGGTGTGAGGAAGAAACTGATGAGCCTTGAGGGAGGAGTTGGAGAGCTCAGGGCATCAAGGGGCAAATTGGAGGGTGTTTCATGAATGGGTTTACAGACTCCAGCCCAGTTTCTGACTAGGGAGGTAGAGAGTTCAAAGGCAGAGGTGTGTAGGTGCTGACTTGCAATCTGGTCATAAATGAGCAGTCTCTGGAAGTGTGTGCTCTTCACCTGCTTGCTGGGGGGAAGGGGAGCAAAGCGGGGGCTATGGAAGCATCCCCTCTTAACCAGCACATAAATTAGGTACCGAGACCTTAAAGGGAAGACTTTTAAGACTGTTTCTGCAGTGAAAGTAGAGAGGCAGTTTCTGCCTACAGAAGTCAGGGTCAGAGAAAATATCATGTCCTCCCTTCCTGTGCTCATGCTGTGACTGGGGAAAGGGGTTGGTCCATCCAAGGATTTCTGATTCCTCTTTCCTGCATACAAGGGGCCCTCTCCCATGCAACCTCCCCATGTGCTTTAGTAATATGGGTCTTCATGATCCCCAAACCTGGGACTGTCTGAACACCTCTCCCTGGCTCCTCTGCGCACCGTAGTCTGAGGGCCTTGTCCAACTGGTGCTCCAGGCCCCTGTCTCATCTGAGAGCCTTGTCCTTCAGCAGGAAAGGGGCTGAACCTCTTCCCCTTCAGGCAATATGAGCCATGGCCTGGGGAACTCTGACCTGGTGAGGAGGCCTGAAACCTCCTAACTGGTCCCACAAGTGAACTGGCCTCTGAGGTCACCCTACTGCTTTGCAGAGGGAGCACCTGTTTCCAAAAACTTCAGGTCATTCTGTGCCACCAGCTGTGCTACGGGTGGAGATGCTGCATGTGGTGGGGCTCTGCAAAACAAAGTAATGATCCTTAGTGAGGTGCAAGCAGCTTGGTGCTGGCTGTTCCTGCCAGTGATTCTCATCGTTTGCTTTGAGGTTTGGATTGGTATGTGCCCTGGGTAAGTGCTTAGGGTTTTCCCCCATCCCTAGGCTATGCACTTAAATGGAGTATTCAGTAACACAGAGATGACACCTAGAGTCCTTGGCATGAGTAAGAGGGTGGGAGTGCTGCAGAGAACCCCTGCCCTAGATGGAAATGGGAAGGGGTCACTGAAGGAGGTTTTTGGAGAGAAGAAGGGATGCAGGGAGCCCCTGGTGTGTATAAGGATTGTGATCAAGAGAAATGACCCGTGCAACTCAAGGGCATTTTTATTTGCACTGTTTTGTTTTTGAAGATGAATAAATGGGGAGGGATGGAAATGCCCCAAAGGAATGAGGAGATGGATGCTTCAGTTACTGGCAATGGTGTCCTTGATCCAGGTAGTAAAATTGCAGACCTTGGTGTAGACACCAGGGTAACCCTTCAGGGCACAGCCTTTTCCCCAGGAAACGATCCCCTGGAGCTGCCCGTTACACACGACTGGACCACCAGAATCGCCCTGTAAGGGAGAGGGTTTGGGGGTTACTTGCACACACTCATGCAGGCAGCTGATGCCACGAGTCTAACATAGGACGGTTCCCACCCAGCTCCAGATGAACTCGGAGAGCACTGGATAAGGAGCAAAGTCCACAGGCTCCTGTGTATCTGATGGGTTAGGAGAAGGGTGAGGTAAGGGACATCTCAGCATTGTGACTGTTCCTTCTATTGACTGCCTTCCCCCACAGCATTAGGTGGAGCTTCAGGTTTAGGTGAAAAGTGCTGTGTATCCAATTCCTGCTGATCTGAGACTGAAGGCTGGACACCACTCAGAGCTCCTTATACCTCAGTCTCTACGCTCTCTCCGTAATGCATCCCACACAAGTCAGAACGTGCATGGGAGCTGGTCTCCCACAGGTGATATGGCCTGCAGTTTGCACCTCGATTCTCAGAGTCCTGGCACAATCAGTGGAACATGAGGGACTGGAGCAGTTTGTGCCCTTCAGGACGGAGTGAAACACATAAAGGGTGCTCACCTGACAGGAGTCTTTGCCACCTTCCAAGAATCCTATGCATATCATGCTGCTGGTGATTTGTCCTGGGTAAGCATTTTTGCACTGGGTGTCAGACAGGACTGGAGCTTTCAGACACTGGAGTATCTCAGGGTAATTAGCTACCAAGAACAAGGGCAGAAGATTCATGGTCATCTTAGCGACCCAAAAGTCCACTTAGCATAAAACAGAAGGATATCTGGCTTAGAGAATACAACAATGTAAAGGGGAGAGAGAGCCATTAGAAGAGAGAGCCAGTAGAAGTGTGAGGATACCAATGACTGCAGTAGGGTAGAACAGGTAATTGAAGGTCACGACTGAGAGGGTTTGATGGGGTTATATGGTCAGGTCATTCCTGGCATATGGGGGTGCTGCCAGGTGGGATTAATATATATGGGAGTCCCATGCTGGGACTAGTGGGAAGGGACTGTGCGTTGTGTGTGTGGTACTCACTGCCACTGCTGAGGGTGTTTCCCCACCCAGAAATTAAACACGTCGTCCCAACAGCTGGACAGGCTGTGGGAAGTGGGATGGTTGAGACATAAGAGTTCAAGGTTGCTGGGGTTGCCAGTTTGATCAGCATGATGTCATTATCTATGGTCTGTGGGTTGTATTTCCGGTGTCGAATGACTTTTGCGGAATTGATGAATTGTTCAGTCCTATCCTCCCGGTCGATGTTGTACTCTCCCAGCCTCACCTGGATGCGGCTGCAAAATTTAATGGTGCAATACAGCAGCAGTTAAGCACAGAAACAATGACAGAGGTGGCCACCTCCGAGTGCCTCAGTGTCTGTATGAGGAAGAGTGGAGACATCGGGGTGGAATTCTATTGGACTCTGTGCTTGAACAGCACCCAGCCACGCATGTGGTATTATTGGCATATATGCATATTTTGCAATTCTATTAACCCTGCTCGTGCACTGAGGATGCACGAGCATCCATCCACCTATGAAGCATGCTTAATAGGCCATGCTCTGGCCGGGCAAGTACCATATTTACCCAAATCAAAGTTAACTTTGAATTGAAGATGATTCCTCTGCAGGGGGCAGGCTGCAGGTTCCTTTCCTTGCAGTAACCCCCACTCTCCCTGAAGGCTGCATGCCCCCTCTCCCACCAAATGAGCCATTCTATCTGGGGACAGTCTGTGGCTCAGTTCTGGCTTCAGCCCTGAGCCTGGGGACAAAGCCAGAGCTGAGCTGACACTTTCCCAGGCCTGGTACTCAAATCCAAGACAAAGGATTTCCCCCACTCCATTCTGACTGTGGAGGGGACAACACCTCATCTTGGATTCAAGTAAATACCATATGTGGATCCATATGTGTGTATGCTGGGCTTGTATAAGTCACAACATTCTGTCTATCAAAAATCCATAACTACCAGGTATTAGACACAAGAGGAGGATGGAAGGCCTCCCATACTACTTGATTCTTGGGATAAAACATTGTTGTATCTGAGGAACAGGAGAGTCAGTTGGACCTGAGCCGCTGCAGCTTGCATTGCATTGGCTAAAGCTAGTATGGGGCACAGGAGGTTCTGTCTCTTTGGAGCAAAGCTCTATCAGGGGCGGGCAATTATTTCAGGTGGAGGGCCGCTTATTGAGTTCCGGCAAGCTAATGAGGGCTGCATGACAAGCAACCAGGGGCAGATAAATATTAATTTTCTAAATTTTTTAGGGGCCTCGTGGACTGGATAGAATGGCCTGGTGGGCCGCATCTGGTCCCCGGGCCACATTTTGCCCACCTCTACTCTAGTTAGAATTGAGGGACTGCTCACGTTCAGGGCATCATCTGCTTCACTGAGCCACATACCCTTGAACCTGCTTGCTTCCTCCCAGCTCTACATATCTCCCTTTCTTGGCTGCCAAAGAGCCCAGATTCAAAAGAAAGGCTGAAGAAGGGTCTAATGGTGTGTCCTGTAGCATGGTGCCTAAAACACCGTGTTGGGAAGCTGGAGAGATTCACGTTCAAGCCTCTCAAGTTAAGAGGGCTTAAACGTGGGATGTCCCTTTCTTGGCCAGGTGCCCTAACCACTCACCACCATCAGAACTATATGATGGGAGCTCCTTCTCCTTTTTTCTGGTATGTGTGTATCTAGCTGCATAGCTGCCCAACCTATGTGTAGCCTACTGGACAGACTCAATAGCCATGTGGACATTTCCACATCTAGACTGCAATGCTAGTAGACTGTGGTGTTATATAATCCAGTAGATCTCCAGCTGGGGCCCTCAGTTTCAGTTTCTGTACAGAAGAATTCAAGGGCTGGAGAGCAAGCCAGGAGGTGTTGCACTGGGGAGGATCTTTCTGTGACATGTCCTGCAGAATTAGGAAATCCCCTGACCTTCTACATCCATGTCTCCTCTACCCCCAGAGCTCAGTAGGCCACTAGACTTCAGATGCATGCTTGTTTGTAATATGAGAGGACCAGTTCACCCTGTCCACAGTCCTCCAGTCACACCTAGGAAGGACAGAAGCAGCATGCCACAAGGACTGAAGGATTGTCATAGAGGATCAGGCCAAGGCCCGTCCAACCCAGTGTGCTTTTGCTGACAGTGGGAATTGGTGGGTGCTTTACAGCAGGGGTGTCAAGGTTATGTCCCATGTGCTGGTTCCCGTGGAGATGGGTTATGTGGCCTGCCCTATAGCAATGATGTTAATCCCTGCTGTTTCAGCACAGCTCTAAAACTCATGGGGTAAATGCTGCTCATGCTGCTGCACCCTCTCTCCTACCCTCAGCTCTTTCTCTGGCCTTAACTGCTACTAAAATCTGGGTTTTAGTTGCCTCTGGCATCCTGGGAAGTGCAGTGGCTGGGAATGCCAAGAAGCCCTACTAATACAGTGCTGAGGACCTAAGAGGTACAGGAAGAGAAGGGACAGTCCCTGCTTCTGCATCATCCACATCACATGCTGTATGATTTAGATTTACCACTATGGATATGCCCTTGGGGTCTTGGCTAGGTCCAAATCTGATTCATTTGGGAGACCCAAAGGGATCTCATCTGGAGTGTTCCTGGCTGTCAGACAGAGCAGAACATGATCATTGTCACTCACGATTTGTAGCAGTGAGCAGCTGACACAACCCATTGTCTGTTGATGAGAGCACCCCCACAGAAGTGGTACCCAGCGTTCAGAGAGGCCTGGTAGGGCACAGAACCCTTAGGACAGGCATAGCCTCCAACGATCTTGTCGTCATCATCGTCAACAGGGAAAGCAACTGAAGGAAACAGGGAAACTGGGTATCATAATAGTAGCTCTGAGCACAGTGAACTGAAATGCAGCAGCATTCAGTGAACTACCAAGGATTTAGCAGTAACCCAACATGTTTGTAGTTTAGGAGCTGCTTCCACATTTCTGAGGACTCCCTGGAATTACCCCTGTTTTATGTCCTATTGCCTTCCAAGCCAAATAGCTGTGACCAATGTTTTATTAGCTCAGGAGGAAAACAGGATTGGAGTTCAGCAATGCTGTTCCTTTCTGACAGCTGTCACTCCTCCTGCTGCCAAATTTCTGATCCCTGCAGTCATCCCTGCCTGCCAGGTGAAGGAACTAGCTGGACAGCAGGTGGGAGAGCCTCTTGTGCTATAGAATCAGAGAAACACAGAAAAGAAAGGCTGGAAGGACCCTCAGGGAGTCTAGTCCAACATCCTGCCTGAGGCAGGACAATCTCTATCCAAACCATCCCAGACATGCTTGTCTAACCTGCTCTTAAAAATGTTCAAGGATGGAGATTCCAGAACCTATCTGGGTAGCCTGTTTCAATGCTTAACCACCCTCCTAACAAGAAAGTTCTTCTTAATCACAAACCTAAATTTTCTCTCCTACAATCTGAGGCCCTTGCTTGCCCTTGCTCCTTGTTCTGTGCCCTGTTGCCACAGAGAAAAGTCTATCTCTATCTGCGTTATAATCACTTTTCACTTATCAATGCCCCCCGCCCTGCCAGATTTCTCTTCTCCAGACTAAATAACCCTAGTTCTTTCTGCCTTCCCTGGTAGGTCATACTTCCCAGGCCCCTTATAATTTCTGTTGCTCTTTGCTTGACTTTATAATGTCTCTGCGTCTTTCTTGAAATCTGTGCCTAAAACTGTGCACAGTACTCCAGATGAGGCCTCATCAGTGCTGAATGGAATAGAAGCATCACTTGCCTTGATCTGCAAGTGGTGCTCCTATTAATAAAGCCCATTATGCTGTTGGCCTTTTTGTACACTGTTGGGTCATACTGTAACCCCCAGGTCTTTTTCTGCAGTAGTACAGCCTTGCCAGTCTGTTTGTATTTGCAGGATGAAATGAAGGTAGAAAGTGGTAAGTCCTGGCAGTGTTGCAGGACCCTAGTGCCAGGCCCTGCTTAGTATCTTGAGGATCACTTAGAGCTGTCACATTGAGCTGCTTCAGGAACAAGTTATTCTTTTACTTTTAGCCCTGGCAGCAGCATTATTTGAATAGCAGTGGGGGTTTGCTTTCATGACCAATAGGGAATTAGACACAGTTTAAGCAGCCAGTAGAGGATTTGGAAGTGATTGGAGCTGTCTTGTCAATGAAGAAGGGACCTTTCTTTGCAGCTGACAGGCTGACAGTAGATTTTTATCGAGGGTCATCAATCCCTTCCACTATATCACTTTCCATTGTGCCTTTACTGGAAGCACCTTATGATCTTCATTATGGTGCCTTTACTGGAAGCACTGTATGATCTTCATTATATGAAATATTTTTTCCTTTAGGAAAAAAAAAGAAGAAATGGAAAACATTAGGGACTGCAAGCCTCTTACCTTCTTGAATGTGGGCCACAAATTTTGCCTTCCACTTTATCCAAGAGAATCAGGAAAATATGGAGAACGTTACTCCATCCTGGTCAGTCAAATGCAAGCATAGGTTGTCTACTAGCAGACAACCGTTCTGTAGGGTGTGAGATGGGGAAGAGTAAGAGGGTCACCATTTGGTCTTGATCAAGTTAGTGCTTTCCAGGACTGAACCTCCCTTGTTGACAGTTGCTGAGGTCCATATTGGGCATCCCTACAGTTTAGGAAATAACTACAGAACCTGCATGACTTTGCAGTATTCAGCCCCTAGTAAATGGGTGTGGGCAGAACCAGTCCTGGAGCACTGATGGGTTAGGCTAGGCTGCTCTCTGAGCCTTTTATTCTTTATTTTTTCCCTTGGATCCTCTAGTGTGGTCAACAACTGGCATGGGGTGGCACAGGGCTAGTAGGCATCACTAAAGACTGAGATTTTTATATCCCACCAATCTACCATATTCACTTCTCTCCAGAATAGTGGACAACAGAACTAAAAGCCAGGTTATGGGATATCAGTGTCCTGCTTGTCCTGCCAAACAAGGAAGTGGGGGGTGGTAAGGAAGATCATGATGAGCTGATGGGGTTTACCAGTGTTTTAGGATTAAGGAAAGGAACTGAGAAGTTGATTATGCTGACTGCTTTTTCTAGGTGCAACTGAAGTGACTTAGTAAAGAGAAACATGGTCTATGTGTAAATCTAAGGGTGTGGCTATTGGTTACCTTTGAAGTATTTTAAATCTGTGGAATGTTACACTGTCATAAAGTTAGAGCAGTTTCAGAGCAGTCACAGTTTAAAGCATAATGCCCTCTCAGACCTGAACAAATGTGACTTGCCACTAGACAGCTGGTGAGCAGGGGCATGGCCAGGAGCCATGGTGGAAGGGGAGGGGTGAGATGGCAATGTAGTTTAGAGGCAGAGAGGAGGGAGGTGAAGGGAAAAGGGAGACTTAGCAAAGAGAATGCTGCTTTTTCCTTGGTTGAATTAGTGCTGGTTAAAGGTGCCTTTGGCTGCTTGCAGATGTTAAAAAAAAAACAAAACAAAAAACCCACAAACAAACAAACAAACCCTAAAACGCACTTTACCAGCAAAAGCAATGCGTTAGTTCAACCTGGTTCTGCAGCTCCTGTATAGATTGGGCACTTCAGTGGGGCTTTTTGGTACTTTTAGTTCAAACTGATTCAACCAGCTATTAGATAAAGGCACCAAAAAAGCCCCACGAAAGTGCCCAATTTATACAGCTGTCAGGCAAGCCAGGTCCAACTAAGGTTCTGGGCATGTGAGGAGCTCGCCACGGGAATGCATCGAGTTTAAGGTAAAGCACCATTTGGGGGGATTTGGGTTGTTTTTTTTTAAACATCTGCAAGCAGCCTTAGAGAATTAAGTCCTGAATTTATCCACATGGTAGGTATTGCATAGGCAGAAATGGCAAACCTTGACCCATGAGCCTCAGCTGCAGCCTAAAGTGAATGAAAGATGCCTCCACGCCATTATCCCATCCCAAATATTGTTCATGTGGTAACAGGGTGGAAACAGGGTTGTCTAGTTCATGTTCTAATCTGTCAGTCAGGAGAGCTAAGTTCTAGCCCTGATTCTGCTGTTAGCTAAGCATGGGTGACTGGTCAAAGGGGACATGTGCCCCCCCAAGCAACCAGTCAGCGACCGGGGCGGGGGGTCCCCTGCAGCCGATCTCACTGACCGGGGCCAATCGCTGTGGCCAGTTACTGCGGCTGCTTCTGGGAGTGGCTGTGGCTGCTTCTGGGAATGCAACGGTGCTCCACTCCCTGACCAGTACTTGCTTCCACCTGTGCCCCCCACCCCCAACCCATTGCCTAAGCAGCGAGCATGGCCAGTCAGGGGATGCACTGGTGCTCTCAGGGGGTGCACGTGCACCCCCGTGCACCCGCTATGCATCACCACTGTGGCTAAGCTTGCTGTGTGGTATTGGGAAGCCACTCTGCCTATTGCCCTATATGAGAGAAAATTTTGAGCTTCCTTTGCAAAGTGCTTTGAAATACATAGCTGATAGGTTCCATGTAAGAGCCTTGCCAAGTGGATACTTGATGCACCCTTAATAGACTCAATGCACCCTTTGATAGACTTGAGGCACCCCTAAGGGAAATGCCAGCTTTTAGTTTTCAGTCTTTTTTAATATTTTTTATACTATAGAGAAATAATAGAGCAATCCATCTGTTGCAGAGAACTCAGCAAGACACCAACAGGGCTTTTAACGCTATATATTTTTATTTGAAATCTTTGGGATTATTTTATATCACTCTGGTGGAGAATCACTGGATTACCTCAGTTAACCTGGTAGCTCTGCACTGAGAGCAGAGCTGCCAGGGGTTAATTCCAGACGGTTCAGCTCTCAGCACTGAGCCACTGAATTATTTTAGTGAGATCCAGGAGTCATGGAAAGAATACTTCCCCAGGCTCTCTGGTCTTGCTGAAGTTAACATAGTGGCTGCACACTGAGAATGGAGCAGCCAGAGATTATCAGAGCTGTGCAATGAGACCAGGGAGTTGGGGAAGCACGCCTCCCCCAGCTGCATGGTTGCCCTGCATGTAAACCCTAGCCCTATCATGAGCACAGAGCCACTGGCCTGTGAAACCATGGAGCTAGGGAACTGTGCTTCCCCTGCTCCATGATTTTGCTGTACTTAAACCACACAGAGTGACTGTTCTCTGTGTTGGAGCAGAAGAGAGAAGCAGAGGTGTGGAGGGTTGAAATAGGTAGAGGAGCTGAGAGCTGTGCATCCTGGGATGCTGGAGGACTGCAGATTAAACATTTATTCTCTCTGGAGCTGACTAATGACCTGAAACAACCTAGGTAAGATGGAACAAAGACAGAATAAACATAGCCCTCACTTCCACTGGCTTATTTTTAAAATGCTTAGAGGGTACGTAAAATGGTTTAACACACTTTAATGGGTGAATGCTCCCCTTTTAAGTATCTTTATGACAGTTTAAAGGTAACCTGTAACATAACCCTCAGAAAAGGGATTGGGGGAGGTAGTAAAAAACTTTCTTGATACTGCTGAACATTTCACAGTTTTCAGTGAATTTGTCTGGCAAACAGAAGGGAATGGAGGGAATGGCCATGCATCTCCCAGAATTATCTGGGAAGTCACAGGGAGGAGATGGGTTAGTGGTGGGAAGTAGCCCCTCTACAACTACATCATATCAGTCTCTTTCTTCCTTACTCATTTGCTTTGAGATTTGCCTCTCTTGGTAAATTCAAGCCACCGCCTTCCAAGACAGTCTCTTATCATTTAGAAAAGCAGCATCCCAAGCTGTCCTTTAGGACTACTCATTAGAACCTCATCTCCCAGGGTTGGGTAGTCTGGAAGAATGCCTTTCTGGTGCATCACTGCACCACCAGGATGAGGGAGTTCCCTTCATGTACTGGGATGGATGGTGTCAGCTCTTTTGTGGGTTTTTTCATACCTTTGTCCTGTCCCTGGCCTGGTATGGCACTCTTGGGGTTGGTCTGAAGTGTTTGTTCAAGAAAGATGAACACAGATTTCATCGATTTCATAGACATTAGGGCTGGAAGGGACCTCGGAAGATCATCGAGTCCAGCACCCCGCCCGAAGGGCAGGAAGTCAGCTGGGGTCATAGGATCCCAGCAAGATAAGCATCCAATTTACTCTTGAAGGTGTTCAATGTAGGTGCTTGAACCACCTCTGATGGCAGGCTGTTTCAGACCTTGGGGGCTCGGACAGTAAAAAAATTCTTCCTTATGTCCAGCCTGAAATGATCTTGCAGTAGTTTATAACTGTTTGACCTCGGCATCCCTTGGGGCGCTCTGATGACACACCGTGAAGTTCCTTGGGGTGCCCCTTGGGGTGCTCTGGTGAACAAATGTTCCCCCAGATACTGACGGTCACCCCTGATAAACTTATAGGTGGCCATCAGATCACCCCTGAGCCTGCGCTTTTCCAGGCTAAAGAGCCTCATAGATCTCAGCCTGTCGTCATAAGGTCTGGTTAAGCCACTGGGACAAAGGGAGAGAAACCTGGAGACAGTAGGAAGAGTTACAGGTCTGAAGGAGACAAAAATGAGAGAAAAAAGAAGGGGGCGGATTGAAGAGAAACTTGAGTGGAAAGCCAGAGGCTTGCAATGCAGGATTACTGATCCCCAAGGACAACTAGAAGATCAGGAGAAACTCACCTGTTGCTCCCAGGCAGGCGAGAATCAGGAGGAACTTCATGGTGTGTCTGGTTGGACCTCTCTCTGTTGTGAGAACAAGTGCTGCAGAATCCTCACCCTATTTTATACCTGCCTGATGGATTTATCTTCCCAACTCAAGGTCTCACCAGATTGCTTCTTCCCAGGTCTTGTATCAGCTCACATAAATTTAGTTACCTTATCAAGGTAGGGTGGTAATAAAACAACTGCAGGTTCCTGGGTAACAGGTGCAAGCATTTCCAGAATAAAAGACAAAGGCCCAGATCCTATTCTGTGTCTAAGGAAGACTACTTATGTGGCACTTCTATGGCTTTTATGTATCTAGTCAGTAAACAGAATGCTATTCCAGCCTTGCAGAACATCCAAAAAACCATTAAGGCACCTTGATTCTGGCCTGAAAAGTTCTGTAGGCAACTGAAAATGGCTTCTTTGTGTTCAAAAGGGATCCAGAACAGCTCCTAGGTGTCTACCTCCACCTAGGTTCTTCTAGAGGTTCAGGGACCTATGGAAACTTTTAAATATTTTACCAGGGGGGAAAGGATCCCAAGAACCTTATTCATGCCACTTAGCTGTCTGAGAGATGGAATAGGATCAGGGCCTAGTGTCCCAAATTCTGTCCCTCCATCGTGCCCTTTGTCTCCCATTTATCCAAATTCCCCAGCTCCTTGCAATTTATAGAAAATTAGGTCTGAAAGGTGTGGGCCAGTAGGAGATGCTCCTGCATTGAGACACCCGCCTCACTGTGCCTGACCACCTTCCAGGCTCTGGGTGCCTCCCTGGGGGCACCTAACATCCAGCCAACTCCCTTCCAGGACCACACCTGCAAACCTGGGGGTAATGCTGCCACCACCCGGAGTCTGGACTGATCTTGGACCTGTGCCCCCTGGGAAACACAGGGCTAGTAGTTCCTGAGGGTACTTGACCCACTGCAAGCACTTGGGGTGCTTCCTTCAGTCTGAAGCACAAATAGTGGTCTCCCTTAGTCAGCTGAACCAAGGGGACCCCAAGGCATAATCTAGATCCTCTCCCAATAAGTCTCCCACGCTAGGTACAAAGGAGAACTTTATTGGTTAGAAGGAGTAGGCTTCATAAATTCATAGACTTTAGGTTCTGGGAGGGACCTCAGAAGATCATTGAGTCCAGCCCCTTGCCCCAGGGGCAGGAAGTCAGCTAGGATCAAAGGATCCCAGCAAGGTAAGCATCCAAATGTTTCTTAAAAGAGTCCAGAGTAGGTGCTTGCACCACTTCTGGAGGGAGAGGAAGTCTATTCCAGGCCTTGGGGGCTTGAACAGTAAATAAGTTTTTCCTTATGTCAAGCCTAAAATGATCTTGGAGGAATTTGTGACTGTTTGCCCTTGTCATCCCTTGGGGTGCTCTGATGAACAGTCATTCCCCCAGATCCTGATGTACACCCCTTATAAAGGAATGGGGTACAGGGTAGAGCAATATCAGAGAAATACCTTAGAGCAAACAGTGGCATGGTAGCCTTTCATTACTCATCTGTGTTACTGCAAGCTATATATCTAGTTAGATCTCAAGTAGCTTAGTCACAAGTAACATCCAGAGGCAAGTGGAGATTCCCTCTGGAGGCAGCCAGTTCATTGATCATGAGTTTCAAGAGGGAGAGAGAGTTTCAGATGGTCTAGCTTCTCTGTGAGTTTTCATCATGGCTACTGCCCTTCCTCCTGGGCAGACCTTAACTTATATAGACCTTATGACCTCATTTACCTAATACAATGAAAGTCAGCAACTGTTGGCTACCAGCCAACCAATTTAAAATGCATCACTGGTTGCCAGGTAGACTGGCAGGGTCTCTAGACCCCTCCGTTTGCTTAGAACAATAGGGAGTTTAATCCCCCACCCAAGTATGTGATGCCAGTCGCATAGAGAGAGGGAGCAGGTTTCCCCCTCCCTCTGGAATGTATCCAGCTCAAGTTATAACTCAGGGCTACCTGAAACAATGGGACCAGAGGTGTCTGCCTTCTGCAGTGACCATGGCAACCAAATTGTCAAATAGCAGAGTTTGGGGTGAGACAGAGATGGTATTCTGCCACAGAAGGCAGAATCCAATCCCCTGCTAAAAGTGGGGCAGCTGAGGCAGCTGAAATCTGCTCTGCAGCACTCCCTGTTTTCCTGTTCATTCCTTGCCATGCCTTTGGAGATTAGAGCCCTCAGCACTCTGGCACAGGCCCTTTATATTGACTCATTAGGTCTTCTCCATTTGAAACTCACTGGGAATGTCTTAAACACTTCTAGCTAATGGGGGTTTTAGGAAGTTCCCTAAAGCTGAGCAGAAAACAGTCATTGGTTTTAGAGGAATCCCCCATTCAGACATGTTTTACATTGATTTAGAATGACAGTAGAAGGAATGGAAGCTGATGCTGAGAAAGTCTGTACTGAGGGCTGTCACGGAGATGTGCACCTCTGAACACTTGGAATCTCTCCCTGAGAACCAGGGCCTTTCTCAGGTAACACTTCCAGGCCCCTGTAACAGAGAACCTTAACCCTGTTACCCAGCTGAAGGGGGAATTATTGCAGTGGACTGAGAGTGGCTGTAGGGGAGTGTGCAGAGGCCCCAGTGAAGCACTGGTTAGGTGCACTGATGCTCAATTCCCTGCCAGGGCAGGGTGTAGGCCAGAGGTGGCCAGTGGCCAAGAGGACCAAGGAACCCTAGCCCATGAGGTGAAACTAGATTCAGGAACCCAGAATCTGAGAGGACTGGAGCTTATAAAATGGGCTCGGGTACAGTGAGCTTAGGCAGAGGGATCCCAGTTAGAAAAATGGGAATGAAGCCTTGGGAAGGCTGAGGTCCTGACAATTCCAGAATAGGCCAGGCTGGGTATTGAAGCAAAGTGCCTCCTAAGCACGATGACTGAAAACATCTGTGAGGCATGGGCATGACTATGGGGGTGGCAGGAGGAGACAATTATTATCTTTAACACTTAAATCAGGGGATTTTCTTGAAAGGGGCAACCCACACCCTAGAGTTCAGTATGAAGAAGCCTGGAGGATCATGCACAAAGTGAATGCACCTAGGAAGAGGCTACCCATTTTCTATCAACAGCCTCTCTAATTAGAAAACTGAAAAGATCAAGTCATGGCAGGAAGGAAATTGAGACAGAGTAGGGTTTAAACAGCCTGGTCCAAGTATGCCAGAGCTTGCTACAGCCCTTTGCAGTCTGCCAGGCTGGTCTCCACAGGGATTTTGTCAGCGCCACTTCATCCTTGCAGAACATTTGCATCTGATAAATTGGCAAAGGCCAGTGAAAAACTGTTTCAGCAGAGTTTTTCCTTTGGGCTCTAACACTCAGCAATGGAAGAAAGGGCTGATGTAGAGGTCATGAACTCGCAGTGACTTGTTACCGTGTGTGCTGTGAAAGGGTATGTATGAACGTTCTTCCTATAGACTTACAGAGGGAGGTAGTGCTGGGAGTCAGGATTCCTGGGTCCTGTTTCCAGCCTGTCATTGGACTGCGGCATGATCTTCATCAGTGTCTTGTGCTTCAGGTTCTTCCATAAGACTAATCATGCCAGTCTCAGTAGGATGTGTTGAAGGTTCCTGTGAGTAAAACAGAGGGAGATATCCTGAGGAAAGGTGCTGGAGCTTTGATCCCTCTGCATGTGACATGTGAAGTCACATGTTGGGGCTGTGTGGCGAGCCAGTAGGGGGAGCTCCTGCATTGAGCCTCCCACCTCACTTCGTCCATCCACCTTCCAGACTCCACGTGACTCCCCAGGGGCGCCTAAGCCCTGGCAGACCCCCTTTTGAGCCCCACCGCAGAGTCCGGGGGTAACGTGCTGTCACCACCCCGAGTGGGGACCTTCTAGGTTCTGTGTCCTTGGGGAAACACAGGCCTAATAGTCCTATGGGTACTCGACCCAATACAAGCACTTGGGGCTCCTCCCTAAGTTGAGGGCCAAAAAGGATAGTCTCTCTTAGTCCGCAAAACTAAGGGACCTCCTAGGCATAATTAAACCCACCCCTCAATAAGTCTCCTACGCCAGTCACAAAGGAGAACTTTATTGGTTACAGAGGGTAGAGGTAGAATAGGATAAGAGGTAGAGCACTATCAAGGGATTACCATTGAGCAAAACAGTCTGGCTGAGGTAGTTATCTGATATGCAAATGCATCACTGTGAGCTGACTAACTCTAGAAACACTTACAAGTATCATCCAGAAGATGGTAGAGAGCTGGCTCGGAGATTTCCAGAGAGAGTGAGTTTCATTTGGATCAGACTCTCTCCCTGTGTCCTGGTGTTTGGGCCATGCTGGTAAAATGGCTTCTCTCCTTCTCCTTGGACCAGGCCCTTATACAGCCTTTCTGACCTCAGCAGCCCAGTCCAATAGAAGCCAGCATTGTTGGCAATTAGCCAACCAATTTAAAAAGCATCACTGGTTACCTGGTCAGAGGAGCAGGGGCTCTTCCTTCCCCCCACTCAGGTGACCAGAGGGACCACACCCTAGGCACCAGGCTTTTGTCAGGAAGGCAGGGAGGACAATCCCTCCTCCCTTAGGAATTTGACCCCAGTGTCCCAAGCTGACCAGGACAGATTTCTGGACGGAGACACAGACGGTGGCCTTTCTTCCACAGGCTGTGCGAGGCATTGTTAAATGCCCTGAGAAATACACAGCCACAAAAGAAGGCTTCTGGCAAGTAATTAGTGGCATGAAAGAAGGCCCAGCATTCAGGTTGTTGCCTCTGTGGCTAGGGATAGACATGCAAAAAGCCTGATCCTGAATTGATTCAATCTTTGCAGGCTACTCTAACCAGCCTAAGTTAAACAGGTTTGCAACTGTGCAGACATTCCCTCTGGACTGAAGAAATGCAGGCACATGCCTGCAGTGGCTCAGGCTAGAAGCCAGGCAGCGCTAAATCAGCACTCCCTTCCCTTCCATAATGCTGAGTTGACAGGGGGCATGGCCAGGCCCTAGCAACACCTCTAATTAGGGAGGGGTGTAAACCACCACCCTGCCTGTAGTCCCAGGCTTTTCCCTGCTCGCTGCTCAAGCAGCAGGAGAGT